AAACCACAGGAAGTACGCTTAGTGACTTCACAAATGATGTAAATATAGGCGATGCAGTCACATTTCCTCATGGTGAATGAACAACCTCAGCAAACGATGATTGATATTAGCAGGAAAAAGTTGTCTTGAGTAGGATCTCAGTTCTGCACTTATCATCATCATCATAATGAACAGGTACAATTGCTTTGTTGAACGAGCTCCTTGAAGAGATGAGGATAAACACAGCTAATTCATTGCTGTATAGCGTCTGCAAACTTTGACTATAAGCAACACAGTGGAGGCTGTCATAATATGCTGTTGATATTATTTTACAATGAGACAACAAGAACTTGTCTTTGTCACGCCACAAAAACTGATTCTTGTCGTCAAGTAGACTGACGACTGGGTTCTAGTCTATCTCACATCGTGACCTCGACTCGTAACGACACAATTGAAAACTCCATGAGCTACCCTTGACCTTGGAATCTACTTTGTATGTGGCACAAGGCCTTCCCAAAGCTAGTACCTGTTCAAAAACTTATAAACGCTTTAGCATACATTTAGCATGGAATTAAGTGATGGTCCAATATGTAACAAATATTTATAAATCATTTATTACAATTTGGATCAAACTAAGCTTTTGCGCGAAGAGCGAGAGTTATACATGGATGCTGGATAAATTCATACTTTGATTAAGCTGTTGGGAAACATTTTCAAGGTGGCCGATACAGTTTCAAGCATCGGTTGAACAGTTCTGCTATGAGTAACTATGGTCGTGAGTATGACGTCGACCAGGTTGTGAGAATGGGGATTCCCTCATAGTTGAGTGCGGATGGATGCCCAGATGTTCTTATAGTACATCGCTAGATCGGTCCGCCGGAAAGCGGAGCGATCTAGTTCAGTCACTTTGATGCTCCACCGGAAAACTAACTGCCAATCAAAAACTTGCCCGGTTAGCCTGCCCGCACATTCTTACATCTTTGGTCCAAAAGAGTAGAGTCGCAACGAAAAGAAGAACTTCCGTCAAGTCTCACTACAAGATGACACCTGCCTGGGTCTATGAAGGCCCTATATAGGGGCTATGTATAAGTTTGTGCAGCTAAACCCGTCCATCCAACACCAACCCCAATACGGAAAGTTTTGAAAATAAAAATGGAAAAGAACTCTGCATTGGCTTCATTGTACAGCGTACTAGAAATTTGCTTTGAACTATAGTACCACCTTTGCGTGCCGAGCTACTTCGTGGAGACTTTAGGGTGAGAATCTACGGCGGGTTCATAAAATCTGGCACATGTTTTGTCCTAATTCTGTCATAACAATTTTTCCTTATATTTTTATTTACCATATAACTTCTTAAGTAATTATATTGATCAAAACATCGTATGATATATATATTTCTCAATGAGGTCATTAGTTGCAAATTTTACTAGTCCCTCAATCAGCACATAAATCCAGAGCGAAAGCGTAAAGTACGAAATGTCCTGTCGAATCAACGATTTTAATGAGATAAAACCGTCACAACAGAATTCTGCCATGCACCGAAGAAGATATTCTGCACCACATGCGGAATCATGTCGTCCCCCGTGAGCATATTGCTGTCGCGTCGTCGAATCATCCACCGTCAAATCTGCGCTTTAGTCTCACCCTTTTTACCTCCTTCATGTGCCCGCCCCTTTGTCGTGCGATTAAGTATCGCCATACATCATACATTGCTGACATGCTCTAGTCATAATTTACACATACATATATAAGGAACGAGAGTGTCCACACACAAATGTATCACAACTAAAATAAGTGTCGAAACACAAAATGTACAAAGAGTCGAGACAAACTCACTACTCGCAGGTAGAATCACAGTCGAAGCTAAGGGGAAAAACCCCGACGCGAAAGGCTCAACTCCAAGAACTGACAGTTCTTTGAGCTTGCCTCAAATATATCACTGCAACGTGTTGACTCCATCCAACGCTCCTCGACCGTCTTCTGCGGCCCAACGTTAGCCGACTTCCAACATTCCCCGACTTCAACTCGAACTCAACGTGTCTCAACTCAAATCGACCCTACGTCTCAAGCCATGACAGCTTTAATGGCGGAATGACTTTGCACATGCATCGACACTTTGGAAGATGTTCCGAAATTGAGTCCAGTGACGATTCCCATGTCCTCGGCTTCTGAGAGCGGGGCGAGCGTGATCTATCAAGAGATTTGGACCTCCAGGGATGCAATGGAATGGATGGACAGGAAGGGGAGGAAAATGAAAGCTGTGAAAGACAATTGTTAGAAGTGAGCACATCTTTGTGTTAAGTTTGGCTTGTTTGAAGCAAGGACTTAGAATTTTTGATGTCTTTTGTACTTTTGCACATCATCTTGTGATACAAATGAAGGATTGAAAATTTTAGAATAGGATTCAATACTAAAATTTGAAAGATTATGATTTAAGACTGATGTATAAAAAAAATTCACAATTATTTCTGAAGCATTATTTTGATCAGATAAACTATTTCAGAGTTGTGTAAAAATTTGTGGTCCAATTAGATAAGCTGAAGTTTATAAGACTAAAGGAAAAGTCATAGTGTACAAATTACATAAAAAATCTCAAAGAGTATTATACAAGAACAAAATATGATAACTTCAAAGTATTATGTATATCTGGATTTAGAAATGCCTGCATGGACTATCCCCACATGAAGTTGCTCTTCTCACTTTATATACGCAATTTGACCGTGCGCAAAACTGTAAGTCTGCACATGCTGACAAAAAACATTTCTTAGAAAAGGTACGATAATTATTATAGAGCAGGAGATATCTATCCCCATGCTATATAAAATTTCTGCTAGAACTCTACTACGCGTCCATATGAATTCTGTTCAGAGGAGAGGCAGCGATCAATGTCGAGCATGGCGAGCTGTGGTGCCGGGAACGAGGAGGTCGTCTTCGGAGACAAGTTCCGCAACAGATGCTCGAAGTTCCTGGAAGACATGTGCTTCAAGAACACCAAAGAATGTGCAAGTCATGAACTGTTGGATCAGATTTACGACGCTGTGTGCAGCCTGCGAAAAATGCAATCAGCAAGCGTCGATGTGATCAGAGCATCCTGTGCATTTGCGGACTTCACGTGTAGGTACCATACGTTCGAGCACAAAGTCAAAGTTGCCCATTATACCAGTGTGGGCACAGAGATTGACAATCTGTTGGACAGTGCTACCATGCGCTCGATGCCTGATGGTGGAGCTCGCACGAAAGAAGACTGTGAATTATTTCATCTCAAGCTCCTCAATCCTGAATTGTACAAGAAACTACATCCGACTCGTGGACCTTTGCACCCTCTTTTCGAGGAAATGATCGCGATCCTGCTGACAGACCTGAATCCATTTTTTCCATCGCAGCCACGACATCACAGTACGCTTGTGGCAGCCACCCTGCAATACATTGAAGGGTGTCAGTTAGAGCACGAGTACAGCGAGAGTGGGTTTGAGATCCAGGCTGACACGCCTCACCTTCCTCTATTTCTACGACAAAAATCTGGAGTTTCAGAAGCGTTTGTTCTCTTCGTCCTTGCTGGATCTCATCTGGTTCCAGAAAACTATGCTTCCGAAGATGGAAGCTCAGATCGCCTATTCTTCTACAACAAGATATATCCGATGCTCCCAGAGATCGTTCCATTCTCCGACCACGCCAACGATGTTCTGTCTTTTTACAAGGAGTACGAGGAGGAATACGTGGGAGCGAATTACATTTGCACCGTGGCCAAAGCTGAGAACATCACCCTATTCGAAGCCCTCGATCGTCTCATGAACCAGATAGTGGAGATCCGGAAGAATGTAATGGCCATAGCGGAGAGGACCAATTCTCTGGAGGTCAAGAGAACCGTTGCTCAGTTCTTTCAAGGCTATATTGCCTGGCACTTTTCTTGGGAGAAGCGTTATAGGCTTGGGGAGGTCTTTGATGACGGCTGGTTCCAAGGTAATCTCATTTAATGCGGGCCCATTCGCATGACGTTCTAAGATATGTTGGACGTAATCAGTTGCCACTTCGTGAACGGCAACATGCAGCTAGCAGTTCTGTAGCAAGATGCGTGTTATAATAAATTAGCCAGAGAGTTATATTCAATTTCTCTGGCTTCAAAAGCATAATCACTGCAGATTTTACTCTGCCTACCTCTCACACTCACGTAGACAAGAAGACAAATCCATCATCATTGGATTCCATCTTCTCAGTCACTTGATACTACACGCTTAACCTTCAAACCATTCCTGTTTACTTATCCGAGAACAAGTCGTGAAACGCTCTGTAATCGTATTGCATCGTAAATCAGTTATTGTGATCGATGAGGACAAGTTATATAGTACCAAAAAAGTAGTATCAGCTCACCATCTTCGAATCCCATCTTCTTCGCTTTGATAGCATGTGGATTTCTGGATTTTGTTATCCGATTCTTAACACTGTTACCTTCAGAGTGTTAAAAATGGAGTACATGTTTCCGATGGCATGACGATTGGTTGCACGGGCACGGAATCAAGTCGTCAAGTTTCTCTTCAAAGCATGTGGGCGAACGAGTCCGCACTCATCCCTCTATGTAATTTGAAAGAATATAATTAAAAGATATGAAATATATAAAAAAATGTCACAATTATTTCTGAACTATTATTTTCATCAGATAATCCGATTTAGAGTTGTTAAAAGTTTGTGGTTAAGTCAATCAGCTGAAGTTGATAAGACGAAAGGAGAAGTCATATGATACAAATTACATTAAAAAAACTCAAAGAGTATTATACAAGAAGACAATATGATAACTTCAAAGTATTCTGTATACCTGCATTATGAAATGCCTGCATGGACTATCCGCACATGAAGTTGCTCTTCTTACTTTATGTACGCAATTTGAACGTGCGCAAAACTGAAAGTCTGCAAATGCTGATAAAAAAACATTTTTTAGAGATAAGATAATTTTAAATAGCAGGAGATATCTATCCCCGTGCATAAAGTGTTGCTGCTAGGAGTAGACTACGCGGCCATTTGATTTCGGTTTAGAGGAGAGGCAGCGATCAGAGTCGAGCATGGTGAGGTGTGGTGCCGGGAACGAGGAGATCGTCTTCAGAGACAAGTTCCGCAACAGATGCTCGAAGTTCCTGGAAGACTTGTGCTTCAAGAACACCAAAGAATGCGCAAGTCATGAACTGTTGGATCAGATTTACGACGCTGTGTGCAGCCTGCGAGAAATGCAATCAACAAGCGTGGATATGATCAGAGTATGCTGTGCATATGCGGAATTCACGTGTAGGTACCATACGTTCAAGCACAAAGTCAAAGTTGCCCATATTACCATTGTGAAATTGCAAGATTTCAACGTTATATAACAAACTATGAGAGAGCTAATATGGTAGTGATATATAGTTTTTGTTGCATATAGTTTCACTTAAGCGCTCAGAGGAATTGCAGGTGACAGGATTTTGGACAAGACACACGGTAGTGGTCTCACGATGGAAAGTAAGGTTCCGGATTTACTATGAGAGGAAGGAGAGTTAGGTCACGAGAGCGACAGGAGATGAGTGAGTGCGCGTGTACAAAGAGAGCTTGGTTTTTGATTCAGCCAAGATTTCTACAAGTCATGTTGGTAGTGTGCCCGAAGGACACGCAGGCATCGTATCCAGGCCCCTGCATTCAGCTACCTTTTCCGTGAGTATTTGGCAACATCAAGAGCCGATCGACCGTGTGTCTGATGAACTTTCATCATCCGTGTGCCTTCTAACCTAGGGCATCACATTGAGATCAGCCTTCATCTCTCGCGGTGGTTCTTCTCCTCGAAGAGAGCGTGTTTGGACCTAACTGTTACGGAGATGGCAGACCTAAATACTGCTTAGCTCTCCTTCGTCAGTAAACCATGTACAGCCCAGCCGTTACAGCGATTTCCCATATTCTGTTTCTCCGCATCAACCACTGACATGTTTCCCTGAGGGATTCCTGTAAAGTGTTCTTTTAATATCACAGTACAGCAAAATTCTTCTCTTTGGCCTTTCAAGTTCCAGCTCTTTCACTATCTTCTTCACATCTTCCATGCCTTGCACCGCTACTTGCTCGGGGGTCCCTTCCCGGTGATCTACGCTTGCAAAACTTGCCATTCGACAGATGGAAATTCCATGGATTTGTCAATCTTTGGGCTCAAACATGCTGCTCTCACCGTGAGAACCTTTGCACTGATCACTGAACACATTTTAGACTCTCCAAGTACTTTTGGCGCGAGGAAGTACCAGAAGTGCTCTCATTGCCTACATTCTTTTGCCTGCTCTTGCCATATCACAAGCATGCAGCTCTCACGTGGGGTGACGAGAGCACAAGTACCTACAGAAAAGTCTCAATTTCCAATTTCGTATCCTATTTCGGAAGTACTGTTTTCGCCCGAAGTTCTTTCGAAGTGCACTTCAAGCTTTCGTAGTTTTCTGCCCTGAACTGTGACAGCTTCCTTGTTTCTGGACTTGCAACTAAAAACTGGATGCCTTGATTATATTCAGCATGCCTCTTTTGCGTGTGCGTAAACCTTAGCCATGGCGTACAGATAAGATTATACAGTACGATAAAAAGAACCTGCTCGGAAGGTTGAATGATCATATTGAGGTTTGTAAACTAAACACTACTAATGAAGCGAGGAGGAGGAGGATTTTCATCAAAACGGGGAATTATCCAGTTATAAGCATACCGAGATAATACTTCTTGTAGAGTTTCGGAAAGACAGTGCTCTACACAGGGTTATAACTAATGATAAACCAAATCATATTTGCCACAGATTATGAGTGGTCTCTACCTAGATCTGAATCATGAACACAATACATGCATAATGGTTATTTAGCAGCTTCTATTTCTAATTTTGTCATCTACTTTGTGAATATATATATATATATATATATATATATCGAGAAAAACTCCAAGTACTCAGCTATGGCACTAGAAGAGTACATTACGTTCAAGGGGTTAACAAAATTATCCGGGGCTCATGATAATTAGAGAATGAAAGCAAACCAAAGGTTAAGGAACAGAAAGGGAACTCAACTGAACGAGGTTGTAAGCAAAGTCATATGATCACCAACGAAATCTGAACATTTAAGCACTTTTAACTCTTGATTTGTTATTGAAATTTCTTAAAGGACCAATTTTGTTTCAAAGTCATTCATCAAAATGTATATTCTTCAAGGTTTTTTTATACAAATAGAAGCTTTTTTATTCATCGACGATATGTGTATACACAAGAAAGAGTATATTATTTTATAAGATTATTTGGTAATCAGAATACTGTCCAAGTACAAAAACTCTTAAACTAGATATCTTACTTATTTACATCTCAATCACTCCTCTAAAAATAGTCAACTTCATAATTCTATTTCGAGATTTTTAGAATATATCAATTTTACTATATGTACAAATTTTATTTGAAATTGTAATTTATTTTATATATGTAGATTATTTCGTGTTTCAACTAGTATGGAAGCAAGTTAAATATGAATAATTATTTCAAGTTTTACTTAGAGTTTCTACTTGGATAAAAGCAATGATCTGTATCATAAAAGCTAAAAAATAGTTTTTTTATATTCAGAATGTAATCACGTTTTGTATATTATATATTTTTTCAACTGTAAATTTTCTTAGTGAACGGTTAGTTATTCTCAATTTATGCTAATTATACTTCATCGTTCATGTATCTCACTCTCTCATGAAAATTTTAAGATTCTGGATTCTACCACGGAAACGCAACCGTGTTTCAATGCTCCATTTTCTCAACTGACCTACTAATGTACCCGATAAGTGTCTATGGTGAGACTACAAGAAGTTAATTCTAATTAGTATTGGCGATGTACTAGGGAGACTGATAATTAGCATAAAGTGAGGGATAACTAGTTGCTCCTTATTTTTATTTTATATTATAAATATGCATTTTTATATTCAAAGCAAGAGGATCTTGAATCTCAAAATAGAAAAAATGAAGGCGTGAAATATTCATTATAACTTATAAAGTTTGCTTTGTGAACAAAAATGAAAATAAAATCCATTTGATTTAATTTCACAAAAACTTCAACAAATTCAATTCTAAACTATTTTACTTCTTTTTTTATTGAATGTATTTAAATATATTAATTATGACCTACAAATATTTAAACTCATTTGCATTTTCAATATTTTCCATAAAAGTCAAAGAATTTAAAACATCCAATTAAAATTGAAGTATATCATGTTGTCAAATGACACTTAGTAGACATTCACACACAAATGTAACATAATAGAATATTTGATGTCTGTATTTGAAACTACTCGCACATAAACACAAATATGTTTCATTCGCGTACTAAATTTTGTATCACATCAAGCCATGATCATCTCTATTACAAAACACCAAGCTAACTTGTCTAGCTCATTAAATTAAAAAAAACCTCCATTTGATTCATAATTAGGTATGTGCAATCTTCATGATAAAAATAATTGTGGTAACACACTTTTTGTTTTTTTCGCAGAATTTAAACAATTTGGAAAAAGAAGTACCGAAGCAGTGTCTGTAGTTAGGAAATGGTACGTTAAATAGAGTGAATTGAGGAGATCGCGGGTCACGAAGAATTACGGAGTTGGGCGCAACGGCGCCAAACGCCTTCGGCAAGATCTCCTTTGCTGAGGTGTCTTTACCCACGCGCCTCCGGCGCGTAGGGAAGGTACGCTTTTGGCACAGACAACTCCGGAGGAGATGTCGCTGAAGACGTCAGAAGCCGGCAAGGACCTCTGAATGCTTCCGACCAGGAGTGCGCCTTCGAAGATGCGCCGTTGGCGCGGGAGCAAAACCTTCATAACGATCAGGATTCACGGTAGTTCTATTTGGTTAAGGTTTCATTAGAAAGAGCTCGGGACGCTCGTTCTAACGAGCTCAAGAACGCCTAAGATGGATCAGGGACGAGGAAGTTATGAGCATCGGTAAACTCGCATCCGGCGATGCGCTGTTCGCGCTAGGATTCACCTTCGGGAAAGACCCCCGTACGCCTTCGGCGATGCGCCTTTGGCGGAACCACGCGCTCATGAGAGGAGATCAAGTCGGAGGCGGAAGCGCCTTCGGCGGCTGTGCGGCGGAAGAGAACTACCGACCTGATGTACGCCTCCGGCGTGGCGCGGACAGGCGGATGCGCCGGCATAATTCGCGCCGGCGGGATACGCGCCGTCGGCGATACGCGGGGCAAAACGGACAAAAGAAGTTGTACAAGTACGTGTCGGCGTAATTCGCGCCGACTTGATATGCGCCTCCAGCGAGGCGCCGACGGAGAAGGAGTACGCCTTCGGCGATACGCCTCCGGCGATGGGCAGGTTGGGAAAAGACAACATAGTCGGAGCGTACGCTCCACCGCGGCGAACTCGAGGTCGGAAGCCCTCGGCGATGACGAACTTAGAGCCGGCGGACGATGGCGGCGGGAGAATTCAACGTTCACGCATGCGAATGCGCGCAGTGCGGAGGCGTGAATTCGAGCATGCGAGGGAGAACCGTTAGGCCGCATAGCCGGCTGCGTAATCAAGTGGGATCACCCACTGCCTACGAAGAGCGTTGTGCGATCTTGATTTCAGAGAAGAAAAGTCTGCTCTCCACTCTCATTCTCTCATTCTTGATTGTGAGTTTTTCAGCTTCAGAGCTTGAGGCGTGCAGCTCAATCGGGCGGAGAGACCTTCAGTGAGTTGGAGAGAGTGCAGGAATCAGTGAGCAGGAAGGAGTGCGTAGCAACCAGGCGCGCGGAGGCGAATTGCGCGAGGATCTTGACGGACCCTGAAGAGAGTTTGCGAGTAGAGAAATTGAGCGCGCAAGGGAGGAGAGAGCAATTTCAGTTAGTGTCTGAGCGGCCGACGCGCAGCGGCGATTGTGAGAGATCGAGCGGGAGGGAAGAGCGTCTGTGTGTGCAGGGAGAGCAAGAAATATGTCGAAGGTCCCCCAGCTGCGAGTGTCTCCATTCAGAGTGCCGCAGATCGGTCTGCGCGCATTCCAGGATGTGTTGACAAGGTTGAAGCTTGAATCCTCCTGTGGGGATGGAATTGGACGTGTCCGGAGATGGTGCGCGAATATTTGCGGGAGAAACACCAGCCCGCGCGCGGATTCCGCCCCCATCCAGAGCGGTGGGACATTAGTCACTGGGCGCAGGTATTAGGAAGGTGTGCAGGCGAGGAAGGATATCTCCTCTTCGAGGCCGAAAGCGTGAAGGTGTCGAAGGAGGAAGAGAACTCCTACAATGATCTTTTCAAGGTTGGCAAGCATCCCAAGAACGGCTTCCGGACACGGGATTACAAAGATCGATTGCGGAGAAATGTCGCGACGGCATTGCTTCAAATATTGCAGCCGACTAAGACCGCCTACATGCATGGTTGGCAAGTGGGATTTGTGGAGCTAGTGTTGTCAGGAGCTCCGATTCATTGGGCACGGCTCCTGTGGAAGGTGACGCGCCAACATGCGCAAGAAGAGAGAGGAGGGACCCTCAATCATCTTTCGCCTTACCTGATCGTGTTCTATCGAGCGATGGGATGTTTGACAGCTTCAGA